AAGAAATAATACTTTTATTAATCAATTATGCATTAAACTGATCAAAAGTGACAGTAAAAACATTTGTTACAGAAAATTTCTTTCTATTCAAAGAATCATGAGAAAAAAATGTATCATGGTTTCCACAAAAATATGAAGCAGCGCAACTGTTTTCAACATTGGTAATAATAATACATGTTTCTTGAGCATCAGATCAGCATATTAGAATGATTTCTGAAGGATCATGTGACACTTGATGACTGAAGTAGTGATGCTGAAAATTCAGCTTTGCATCACAGTATTGTGAAATATTATTACAATTATTTTAATATTTCACATTATGACTGTTTTTACTGTATTTTTTTAATAAATCAAATGCATGCAGCCTTGGTGAGCATAAGAGACTTCCTTTAAAAGCTTTTTTTTTTTTTAAATCTTATGGACCCCAAACTTTTGAATGGTAGTGCAACAAATTTAACTTCATGAAAACAATCACTTCATACAGTTTTGTTGGAACGGGTTCATCAAAATCTTGTATGTTGACCAGCTAGATAACTCTAGAAGGAACAACATTTCAAATGTTTATGAGTGTAAGGCGTAGAAACACATGTACATGATCAACAAACATAAGCTGTAGTGAAAACACAGCATTGGTCCTATAAAGTAAGTGACAGCTCCGTCAACGGGCCCAAAACTCCCTCACACTGGCCCTGGACCATCCTTATTGTTGCGCCTGGCTATTGAATGTGTGTTTAGACTGTGAAAATAACAAAGGAGAGAAATACAATGAAAGGTGTGTGTTTTGCATGAGACGCAGTTGTGAGGGAGTGAGTGCTCAAATATGCTAATTCCAGCTGAACAGGCTGGAAAACCATCCACAGCGTTACCATGACAACATGGCACGTAGGGGTCCAGGGAACATATTTGTGTGTGTGTGGTGAAGCAGTGCGTTTCTAGGTCAGCTCCATTAAGCCTCTCCTTCCCCCCTCTCTTTTAGTCATTCTTCTGTCATTTTCCCTCCTTTTCTAATGGAGGGTCTTTTCAGACAGCATGTAGTGCCATAGGCTACAGAAGAGCACACTTAGTAGTGATGATAGGACTGTGTACACATGCACAATTATGCTCACATTCCCAGTCCATTTTGTTTGTTTTCAGGCTGGTGTACTGTAGCTACCTTATGCAATCAAGGGATCTTTTTTCCATTTGTGATGTTTGTCCACAGAAGAAGTGTAGACAAGTGTAGAAAGAATTGATTGAACTTTATTTTCCAGTCTGTTTTCACAGAGCGGAAATCTTTCTTTGACACTGTAACATAAGACACATCACACATCAACAACACAAATACAAACAATAATATAGTTAAACACTGTAAAAAAGACAAATTAAAAAATATTAGCAGTCGCTCTATTGTTTCAATTAAAACACTGTACGATCACTGATCACTCACTGATAAAAAGGCCAAGACAGATGGCATTGTCATAGAGCCAGAAGGTCAGAGTATAGGTGCTGTTTTGTCTGCATAGCAATAGCATGCTGCAGTGCACCGTTTGCTTGGCTTGTCATTCAAACTGTTGTTTGGAGAAGTTTGCAGCAAAGTTTCGCATTCATCCTGGTTGTTGAATTTTTATGTGAATTTAAGATAGACTGTGAACTAAGATTTTTCAGTGACCAATGCTTATATATAAAGGCCAGTAAATCGATTAATTGCATCTAACATAAAAGTTTTTGTTTATATAATATGTGTGTATATATATATATATATATTTAAATATATGTATATACATTATTATATATATATGTGTGTGTGTGTATATATATATATATATATATATATATATATATATAAATATATATATATATTATATACACTCACCTAAAGGATTATTAGGAACACCTGTTCAATTTCTCATTAATGCAATTATCAACTAATCTATCAAGGGGTGTGGTCCTGGTCAAGGCAATCTCCTGAACTCCAAACTGAATGTCAGAATGGGAAAGAAAGGTGATTTTAAGCAATTTTGAGCGTGGCATGGTTGTTGGTGCCAGACGGGCCGGTCTGAATATTTCACAATCTGCTCAGTTACTGGGATTTTCACGCAAAACCATTTCTAGGGTTTACAAAGAATGGTGTGAAAAGGGAAAAACATCCAGTATGCGGCAGTCCTGTGGGCGAAAATGCCTTGTTGATGCTAGAGGTCAGAGGAGAATGGGCCGACTGATTCAAGCTGATAGAAGAGCAACTTGGACTGAAATAACCACTCGTTACAACTGAGGTATGCAGCAAAGCATTTGTGAAGCCACAACACGCACAACCTTGAGGCGGATGGGCTACAACAGCAGAAGACCCCACCGGGTACCACTCATCTCCACTACAAATAGGAAAAAGAGGTTACAATTTGCAAGAGCTCACCAAAATTGGACAGTTGAAGACTGGAAAAATGTTGCCTGGTCTGATGAGTCTCGATTTCTGTTGAGACATTCAGATCGTAGAGTCAGAATTTGGCGTAAACAGAATGAGAACATGGATCCATCATGCCTTGTTACCACTGTGCAGGCTGGTGGTGGTGGTGTAATGGTGTGGGGGATGTTTTCTTGGCACACTTTAGGCCCCTTAGTGCCAATTGGGCATCGTTTAAATGCCACGGCCTACCTGAGCATTGTTTCTGACCATGTCCATCCCTTTATGGCCACCATGTACCCATCCTCTGATGGCTACTTCCAGCAGGATAATGCACCGTGTCACAAAGCTCGAATCATTTCAAATTGGTTTCTTGAACATGACAATGAGTTCACTGTACTAAAATGGCCCCCACAGTCACCAGATCTCAACCCAATAGAGCATCTTTGGGATGTGGTGGAACGGGAGCTTCGTGCCCTGGATGTGCATCCCACAAATCTCCATCTACTGCAAGATGCTATCCTATCAGTATGGGCCAACATTTCTAAAGAATGCTTTCAGCACCTTGTTGAATCAATGCCACGTAGAATTAAGGCAGTTCTGAAGGCGAAAGGGGGTCAAACACAGTATTAGTATGGTGTTCCTAATAATCCTTTAGGTGAGTGTGTACACTCACCGGCCACTTTATTAGGTACCCCATGCTAGTAACGGGTTGGACCCCCTTTTGCCTTCAGAACTGCCTCAATTCTTCGTGGCATAGATTCAACAAGGTGCTGGAAGCATTCCTCAGGGAGTTTGGTCCATATTGACATGATGGCATCACACAGTTGCCGCAGATTTGTCGGCTGCACATCCATGATGCGAATCTCCCGTTCCACCACATCCCAAAGATGCTCTATTGGGTTGAGATCTGGTGACTGTGGAGGCCATTTTAGTACAGTGAACTCATTGTCATGTTCAAGAAACCAATTTGAAATGATTAGAGCTTTGTGACATGGTGGAAGTAGCCATCAGAGGATGGGTACATGGTGGCCATAAAGGGATGGACATGGTCAGAAACAATGCTCAGGTAGGCCGTGGCATTTAAACGATGCCCAATTGGCACTAAGGGGCCTAAAGTGTGCCAGGAAAACATCCCCCACACCATTACACCACCACCACCAGCCTGCACAGTGGTAACAAGGCATGATGGTTCCATGTTCTCATTCTGTTTACGCCAAATTCTGACTCTAACATCTGAATGTCTCAACAGAAATCGAGACTCATCAGACCAGGCAACATTTTTCCAGTCTTCAACTGTTCAATTTTGGTGAGCTCTTGCAAATTGTAGCCTCTTTTTCCTATTTGTAGTGGAGATGAGTGGTACCCGGTGGAGTTTTCTGCTGTTGTAGCCCATCCGCCTCAAGGTTGTGCGTGTTGTGGCTTCACAAATGCTTTGCTGCATACCTCGGTTGTAACGAGTGGTTATTTCAGTCACTGTTGCCCTTCTATCAGCTCGAACCAGTCTGGCCATTCTCCTCTGACCTCTGGCATCAACAAGGCATTTCCGCCCACAGAACTGCCGCTCACTGGATGTTTTTTCTTTTTCGGACCATTCTCTGTAAACCCTAGAGATGGTTGTGCGTGAAAATCCCAGTAGATTAGCAGTTTCTGAAATACTCAGACCAGCCCTTCTGGCACCAACAATCATGACACGTTCAAAGTCACTCAAATCAACTTTCTTCCCCATACTGATGCTCGGTTTGAACTGCAGGAGATTGTCTTGACCATGTCTACATGCCTAAATGCACTGAGTTGCCGCCATGTGATTGGCTGCTTAGAAATTAAGTGTTAACGAGCAGTTGGACAGGTGTACCTAATAAAGTGGTCGGTGAGTGTATATATATATATATATATATATATATATATATATATATATATATAATTACTATTATAACCTTTTTTAAAAGTATACTTTGTTCACTGAGGCTGCATTAATCTGATCAAAAATACAGTTAAAATAGTAAAATTGAAATATTACTATTTAAAATTAAACATTTATATTTTCGTGGAAACAATATATTTTTTCTTTGAATAATAGAAAGTTCAAAAGAACAGCATTTATTTAAAAATAGAAATCCTTTAAATTATAAACCTATAACATTATAAAACAACATTATAAAATTGTTTTTTTTTATATCATGCTTGATAAATATAATTTCTTTAAAAAACATTCCAAACTTTAAAACAGTAGTGTGTACTGTTTATATTTATATAACATATATACTGTTTTATTAATTAACAATGCACTTGTACCTTACCGCTTATAGCAAATTAAAGATAAAATATTGCTAAATTTATTCTTAATGCAGTATTTACATATATTTCACTCCTTCAATACTTGATAAACAGAATATATTTAATTCGTTGACAAGGCTATAGTAAAATTATCAGTGTTGAACGTACAAATAGTTAAATATCAGTCCAACCTAACTGGTTTAAAGTGGATTCATTGCAAAACAGTTGCAATCAACAACAAATTAGTTCAGAATTGAATTTCAGGTTACACTTTGGCGAAGTTTTGATCTAAATATGTCCACCTGTATTCTGCAGACATTTTTTTAACTTGGTTTGGCTTTGACAGGGTGTCTCAGAGCGTGGAGAAAAACCGTGCACACCTTCAGACCGTCACAGACCGGATCAAATTGGCTCAGGCCAGAGTCCAGAAGATCAAAGGAAGCAAGAAAGCCACAAAGGTGATGCAGATGATTCAGAATCACAGAAAATCTGACAGTCAGTCACACAGTGTAGAAGATAAACGTATTCTGCAAGAACTGTCTGGAGCAGCATGCGAATATGAATACATGTAGGCTAATGGTGTCAGCGTTGGTGTAGGAAGTTAGGACCCAAATGCAGAGATGCAATTCAGTGTTCTTTATTTAGAAAATGAAACCAAAGACAGACTAAAACTACCCCTTAGAGGAAAAAACACAAAAGGCATCCACCACGGCAGGTAGAGTAGGGCTTGAGAACACGGCTGGGTGCAGGACATGGCAAGGCTCTGAGCAGGGCAGGACACAACAAGGCTGGCAACAGGATACCACACATGGAGTGTATAGCCCCATTCGGACGGTAATTGTTTCTCATGGGGTCGTAAGGTATTTTCAACATTTACAGGGGTTAGTCTGTGATTTTATTGCCATCCGAATCCAGAATGTCAGTGTTTTTCTCCCACCACCCGGGTAAAAATCTGTTGTTTTGACAAACACCAAGGTCGTGTGGTGATTTAATTGCCGTCCGAATCCACATCTCTGAGTTTACAAGATGAGATCACTTCAAAATTCACTGTTTAAATCCTTTTTGATCTCTGCCGAGCACCGTACGTACGATGTACACTTTTATTACTGAAATGCTAAAAAGTATTTACAAGAACAATATTTCATCACAGCTCCACCTCAGCGAACAAAAAGGAGAAAGAGAAAAAAGTGCTGAAAGATTACGTGTATTTTCAGTCATCTTTAGTCAGACGCATTTACATTGTGACTGTGCCTCCGATGCAGTCAACTCTATCTGTGTCTGTAAAGGGGTGAACCAAATGGCTCATACTGATGGGTGTGAATGACAAGGGGAGAATAAATAGGGGAGCGAACAAGGAGGTGGGGCAACTGAACCTATAATCAGGTAACAGGTGGGGCTGGTTAAGACAATAAACAGGAGAGCACATGGCAGATAGAAACAAACATGACAACATGCTCACAATGACAAGACAATAGGAGTGCCAGAGCTCCGTCACCAAACCAAGAATAAACAGACCGAAGTGACAGAACCCGGACAAATGGTTAAAACAGTAAAAAATGACAAAACCTATTTTGCAAAAACAACAAAAACATTGTTTATATATAACAAATAAATAAAGCTTATTTTAGAATAATTAAGTTTTATTTTTGCTCTGTGATATTATTTTTATGACAATTAAGCACATTTACTGCATTATTATAATAAAAAACTTTATCTGTCGTGCACTTTGATCTTTAAAACTTTACATTTTACATTCACAAAGAGCCTTATTACACACTGCATGAAAGGTAATATTTGAAAAAGCATAATAGGGGCACTTTAAAGGTCTGAGTGGTTATATGTTTGATGTGTTTGTGCAGGTGTTCTCCAGTGCCAAATACCCCGCTCCAGAAAAACTGCAGGATTATTCTTCCATCTTTATGGGTGCAGTTGATCCCGCGTCCCAAAAGCGGCCTCGCTTTAAAGTTCAGAGCAAACTCCGCCCACTGGATGACAAGTCCTTACAGGTGAAAAACATTTGACAAACATGACAATGACTTCCTGTCATGCTCACTTTGCAGAGTAAATGGATCATATATTTTTTTAAATATGTGGAAATTAATGGATATAAGCTAGCATTTTGCTTTATTTATTTTTATATACTTTTAGATTGTAATGCATTATTGTAAAGACTTAAAGTCTGCAGTTCATAATTATTTCCCTTGTATAATTTAATTGAGTTTTCAACAACAACAAAAATCTTACATAAAGAGAGAAAGGGAACTCTCTTTAATCTATTTATTTATATTTGATTGTTTTATTTAACTACATTTTAAAACATGAATTGAATATTCATTTGTACATTTAAAAAGTGATTTATTTTTTTATTAAACAGAATTGATATTATAATATTACTATATCAACTCTGTTGCCATGATTTTTACGACACTTACAAGTAAAATTTCGGACTCAGTGTGCAAGGACCTTGTTTTAATTTGTTTTAAAATGTAGTTAAAATAATAAATGATTCAATTACTTTTTAAATTAAAATACAAATGGAAATATTTTAAACTTTATTTAATTAATGTTCTAAATGTAATTAAATAAATCAATAAAATATTAAATTAAAAATAATTTTGAAATACAGATTTTAAATTGCATTTAAAAAAAAATATTTTCCAATTGTTTTTTTTAAAATAAAATTTGTATACATCGAGTTAAAAATACCATTGGACAGTTCTCTTGTGTAGGCAATAATCAACCACACAAGCACGTAACAGTTGTTAAATGAAAAATTATAGATTTGTTTCAGCATTAAATTCTCTTTTTAAGAAGCTCCTTGTAGTTTCACGACCTTGAGCGCTAGGTTTGTAATGTCAAATTACAGTGTAAAACTCTCAACACAAATTGATGCTAAAATGATTCATGAAATGACAAACAAATGTGTTTCATAGGAGAAGTTGATGTATTTGCCAGTGTGCGTAAACACTAAGAAGCACTCTGAGGATGAGACTGAGGAGGGTTTGGGAAGTCTGCCGAGGAATGTCAACTCAGTCAGCTCCTTATTGCTGTTCAACACAACGGAGAACCTGTGAGTACACACACACCTACACATATTGACTGAATGCTGCACAGGCGATGCAACCTTATTACCGCTCATATAATCATCGCTATGTGTGTTTGTGTATTTTCAGCTATAAGAAATATGTGTTTCTTGACCCTCTGGCGGGCGCTGTAACGAAAACACACACCACGTTAGAGACGGAAAAGGAAGATAAACCGTTTGATGCACCGCTGTCGATCACCAAGAGAGAGCAGCTAGAAAGACAGGTGAGCTGTTCAGTCACACCTATACTAAGGCAATAAACTGACAACAGGATGCAAGCTTAGCTGATGTCTCTTTCACACTTTCTTCTCAGACCGCAGAGAATTATTTCTATGTGCCAGACCTGGGGCAAGTGCCGGAGATCGATGTGCCGTCTTACCTGCCTGACCTACCCGGCATCGCTGATGACCTCATGTACAGCGCTGACCTCGGGCCAGGATTCGCACCATCCGTTCCTGCCAGCAACAGCATCCCTGAACTTCCCTCGTTTGGCACAGAGCATGATGAATCTAGTGGATCCGGTGGGATCATTATTAACATTCTTTTATAACAGATTTTAAACTTAAAGAGGTTATATTATAAGAAAAATAATAATAATAATATTTATGTGTTATATTATTGTGCATATTTTTATATTATTCATATTCATTAAAAATAATAAATATGTATAATGTGACCCCTATGTTTTCCTTCATAGTCTAAACATTTTTTTAATACTTTTTTTTTAAGACTCTCATTTTAGGCTTGAGGCTCCGCCCCCTCCGCCGCCTCCACCCCCTCCTCCACCAGAGCCCACCCAGTTATTGGCCCCGCCCCCTGGAACTTCTCCAGCCCCGCCCCCTCCACCCCCACCTCCACCTATCACACCAGAATACACTGCTGTCACATCAAGCCAAGCCACTCCCACAAGTAAGATTCATTTTCATTGTATTTTTTATCATTTTATTGTTATTGCTTGTGAGGCAAAGCGACTGTGATGATGTCATAGCAATATTGAATTGCTATTGGTCTACTTTCTTGTAACTTTTTTTAGACTGCAAAGATGGTTGAAGGGATAGTTTTATCAAAATGTATTTTCATTTACATGTTGTTCCAAACCTGTATGAGTTTCTTTCTTCCGTTGAACATAAAAGAAGATATTTTAAAGAATGTTGGTAACCAGACAGCTGATTTTTTTCCTACTATGGAAGTCAATGAGTGCCGTCAACTGTGTGGTAATGACACAATTTTCAGTTTTGGGTGACCTATCAAATGCTCAAAACCTAAACTTATTTGAAACATGACTTTTATATTTCTGCCTTCTGCCCACAAACAACAAAAACAATATTTTTTTGTCCATATACACTACCAAGACTGCATTTATTTGATCAAAATTACAGTAAAAACAGTAATATTGTGAAATAGTATTACAATTTCAAACACCTGTTTGCTATGTTATATTTTAAAATGTAATTTATTCCTGTGATACAAGGCTGAATTTTCAGCATTATTACTCCAGTCTTCGGTGTCACATGATCCTTCAGAAATCATTCTAATATGCTGATTTGCTGCTCAAGAAACATGTATTATTATCATCAATGTTGAAAACAGTTGTGCTGCTTCATATTTTGGTGGAAACATTTTTTTTTTCAGGATTTTTTTGATGAATAGAAAGTTCAAAAGAACAGCATTTATTTGAAATAAACCTCACAAAAGCCTTTACTGTTACTTTTCTTCAATTGAATGCATCCTTGCTGAATAAAAGTATGTCAAACACATTCTTTTGTGTTTGTGTTTGCAAGGTGGGATGAAAGGCGCCCCTACTGAGGTGGTAAAGCCGTCGGACGGGCGAGCAAGCCTGCTGGAGTCGATCCGAAACGCCGGCGGCATCGGCAAAGCAAACCTCCGCAATGTGAAGGGCCGCAAGATGGAGAAGAAGAAACAGAAGGAACAAGAGCAAGGTCAGACGCCACAGTGTTTACACTCCGTGCTAAAAGCAGGCCGTGCATACTGTCAAACAGGGTCAATTAGAGGGTGTTAACATTAGCTAAACTGTTATTAGAATAAGAACTTGTTAGTAGTGTTTGCTAAGGCGAGCATAAAAAATCCTATGGCACCCAAGCCGTATGTAAGACTTGGGTCAGTAAGAAACAACCTAGTAATCGCATAGGTACATCCTAGCAACCACCCAGAATATATGTAAAAGTGTACTAGCCAGGTCAATATAATAAGTGTACAAAGTATTCTTTTTTTAAAACGAGGAATTCATTGTTTCAGTATCACTGATGTAAGGAAGAGTGCTGTGGTATTTGGAAAGGTCAAAATAGACATTTACTTTCATTAAATCTGCCCTATTAAGCCTTTTTAAATCTGCTTGACATTTGCTCTGGAATCGACTGCCTCTTGACTCACAAAGTCTCAGATATTTAAGACAAGTTCTTCATTGATATAGTGTCATTGGATAAACTATGTGGTCTTTTGAATTAGTCATCTCCGAGAGGTAATTACTAATGATTTAGGACTTGGGTGAGAATAAATGCCACAGTTAAGATTTGAGAGAACATAATTTAATATTCTTTACTACTTGTTAGTCTCCTGAAATATGGACTGTTGGAAACTGGTTTTCATTCTTTTGAGGAACACAAAAGAAAGATGTTTAGCAGTAAAAATTCACTCTGCTGTTTTTGTTTTTAATGAAAGTCTCTGAAAAAGTTTTTTAAAAAGCACAATAAAAGTGATCCGTATGACTTATGCGCGGATATACACTACTGTTCAAAAGTTTGTGGGTGGTCAGAATCTTTTTTTTGAAAAGGTCTCTTATGCACACCAAGGCTGCATTTATTTGACCAAAATTACATAAAAACAGTAATATTGTGAAATATTATAACAATTTTAAATCATTTTTTTCTCAAATGTAATTTAGTCCTGTAATGTCAGCTAAATTTCCAGCATCATTACTCCAGTCTTCAGTGTCACATGATCCTTCATAAATCATTCTAATACGCTGATTTGTTGCTCAAGAAACATTTATTATTATCAGTGTTGAAAATAGATGTGCTGCTTAATATTTTGTGGAAAGTATTTTCTGGATGAATTTTTTTCCAGGATTCTTTGAATATAAAGTTTACATCATTTAAAAGAACATCATTTATTTGAAATAAATATTTTGTAACATTACTGTCTTTACAGTCACCAAGTCTTAAGTTCTTAAAAAAAAGAAAATCTTCTGAAGTCCTGTAATGTGTAACATTTATAGAAAAAGCTATTTTTTTCCCGTCACTTAAAGTAGCAATCATCTTTTTTCCAGTTGGTGCAGCGGTCAGCGGTGGAGACCTGATGTCGGACCTCTTCAATAAATTGGCCTTACGCAGAAAAGGTGCGTTTGAAACCTTCATTTTAGTGCCTCAATTTCTGTGTTTTCATGCAGCCTGATGCTTGTTTTCCCCTTGTGGATATTTGACAGGTATCTCTGGCAAGGTTCCAGGGGCTGGAGACTCCTCTGAAGCACCTGCCAGCTCCGGCGGAGCGTTCGCCAGGATGTCAGATGTGATCCCGCCCCTTCCAGCGCCGCAGCAACCGGCCGCAGATGATGAGGATGATTGGGAGGCGTAACCATGGCGACCCAGAGTTGAGTGGGAAACTCAAGTCGGGAGTTGAAATCCTCAAAGACTAGAGTCTGCAAATATTGTCTCTCCAAGGAGAGCTATGGAGTGTTAAGTGAGACATTTTGTCACTGGTTTTGTAACCTTCAAGGTCAGTGAATGAACAAAAGTATGAGAAGACGTGTTCTAAATGTCATTAAAACCCTTAGAGCCAGAAAGATTATATTATGAAAGTCAACATGACATCTAAATTCAACCGTGCAAATTATTCCATATATATCTTTCATGTTCCTCTAGTTCTAAAATGACTTTCCTTTTCGTCTGATGTCATCTAGGCCACACAAGCAATTGGTTAATGTTAAGCAGTTTCACTCAGAAATCTGACATTATGGTTGTTTTATGTTGACTTTAATACTTAATCACACTTTTTGATGAACATTTTTCACTTCTCATGCACATTCAAAACAGCGTGACAATGAAGTTGATTGTGAATTATATTCCATTAAGGAAGAAAAGAATGTATATAAAAACTGTTTCACATGCACTTAAACATTTGTAGCTTTAGTAGAGAAAAATAAACCCTAATCTACTATGATTGTTTTAGCCCATATGAACCAGTCTGTTGGCTTCACATTGTGGTTTTGTAAAAATGAGCTTTATTTCAATGAAAGTTAAGAACTGAACCAAAAAACACATGAGGACAGAAGTGGCAGAACTCAATAATTCACAAGGCCAGAGTAATCAAACAAACATTCATAATGCAGGACGCACCGGAGTACTTTTACACGCTGTCGATTCGATGGCCTCAGAGTGGCGGGCTCTGTCGCTTCTCCAGGAAAAACTGCGGAATCAAATAAAGGATCAGACGTAGAGCATACTGCTAACAAATCCTTCTCATCCTGTCATCATCCGCTTCCTGTCATTAGAACAGACGTGCTTACAGAGAGCACAGCTGGAGAACGTCTGTCTCATTAAAACAGCGCACAGCTGGAGAGACACTCAATCGCACTTCACGTGCTCCTGTCTATCGCACTCTACGAGATTGACATCTTACCTGCAAATTTAGAAATAAAGCTCAATGTAGTATGCATGCGGCAAGTGATCAGCTAAATTCACCTATTCAATATAATTATTGTAATAATAAAAAATAAATACTATTATTTAAAATCTTTTTATTTTATTATTTAAATCGTACAAATTAAACAAATCAAAGAAATATACTACTACTATTGTACTGTAAAATAAAATAAAAATATTGAATAATAATAACAGTAAAATAACAATACTTATATTTATGACTGTCTTGATATATTTAGAACTGTCTTTGCTTTCAACTGTCTGTCTTTTGTTTTTATTTTTGATGGAAAACCACTAAGGGACCTTAAAGCTCGTAAAATACAGAAATCCATGTAAATATGGAAAAATCGCATCCCTGATGCATACTGTACACAGTGTGAATGGAATTCCTGGATGAGCTACAGTATAAAACAGAGCACATGGTATCCCACATTGCAATGTGCTTGACTTGACCTTCCATTTCCCCTATGACGTGGTGATATCAACTGCATTTTTTAATCATTTATTGGCTTAATATTTGTTATGTCTGACAAAAGTTAAGACATTTTTACACAAAAATAGGGGGTTAGGTGCTTTGCTCAGTCATTTCCTGCCGGTATTGAGAATCGAAGCCGCAACCTTCAGGTTACCAGTCTGACTCTCTAACCATTAGGCCATGATGACTGACCGTAATACTACTGTTTGAAATTGTCGTATGCTGTTTCACATACAATTTTTAAAAAGTAGGCAATATACTACATACTGCACAATATGCTTACCCTCCTGACGCTGGCGAAGGCGGGACCAAACGTTGTGTGCGTGTGTGTGCTAGAACGAATCCATTGGGGAAGTTTCTGCAGAGTGCCTGATCGGGCGTACCGATGGTCGCACAACGCTATGCATGCGTAATCGCCACGATGACGGATCGCACGACCTGGAGGGGTAGGAAGTCAGAAACAAGTGTGTTAAATTGTGCCTTACTCTGCTTTATCAGCTACTAAACATCTTAAACTGTTAAATGACAGATTGCTACTATACTAGCATACAGGCCCGCCGACAGGGGGGGACAAACGGGTCTGTTGTCCCGGGCCCAGGGTAGGAGGGGGGGCCCAGAACTGGGCCCTCATTAAATTATGGAATAATTGTTAAAAAATAAATAAAATAGGCATATTTGTGGAAAAAATATCTAATATTTGAGTTCCATAAAAGCTTTTTATTTGTTTTCTTCCTAATTGTCCTTGAAATAGTGGTCAAGAACCCCCCCACCCCCAAAACAAAAATGGTTTGGCCACTGATCAAAATTTGATATTGTCATTTGATTTGAAGTTCAGTAGGCTAATGTTACGCTCAAAATGTCCGGTCAGCAAATCAGCTGGAACTAACGTTAGTAAAGTCAACGTAGAGCAAGGTAAGAAACAGCGCAGCCAACGTTTATGAGTGTTGTCAAAGACTCGGTACTCGGTAGCCACTAATTTTTTTTAAACGTCACGCCACGGTAGGCTACCAGGTTTTCTCAAACCCGGTATTTGATGCGCGTGCATGCCCGAAGCGCGTGCAGTTGCGTCCTCTTCATAAAAGCGCTGAGACATGTAAATCATGGCTGTAAATCTACTTGTTTATAAGAAAGGAGAAAAGAGCCACATATGGAAATATTTTGGATATTAGCTCATAACAGCGACGCGACGCGCTCGTTTTTACAGGCGCGCCTAAGTTCATTGTTGCATAGCAACGACAGACGCCACGGGAGAGCACGCGCTTGTGGAAAGGAGAAAGCGGTGCGAACTGCGCTCTCCATGATGACGATGAAGTATTAGCAAAGAATTTATTGATTTCTAGCCCTTGCATTAGCTTTACTACTAGATATATTTATGGAGATGAGAAATAAAAAGCCGGCTGAAATGCGTCACTGTCGGCATCGGTGAACAGATAATGGGCCAGATCCGAGTCTATTTTTGCTGCGCTGCTCATGCTTAATTAAAAGTGAAAGCATAGTTTTGATGGACAAAAAAATAAATATGATTTCACACAAAAAGTGCCCAAATGCACAGATTTTGCATGTGTAGTGTGTTTTAACAAGAGCTGCAGTAGGCTGAGAAAATGAAGACATTTATAGAAAATGTACCCATTTAAACGTGTTTTTATTATTCAGTTTGGGTAAAAGTATATGGTGTTTTATATTTTTTTAAAAATAGGGGGGGGGCATCTAAGATCTTGTCCCGGGCCTAGGCAAGACTGTCAGCTGGCCTGCTAGCATACTAGCTCTTATATGGAAGAAATAATAAACGTACTACGCTAGTATGCTATTCTTAGTTCAGACAATGTGTTTAAACAAACTGCATTAGTTTGCCCTTTGCGAAACACAGCATTGAATCACAGGCGGTCTTGAGTATGTGGCTCCACCCACCAATAGATTGATTGACAGCTTTCATGCACAGACCCTCGACCAAAGCCTTCCCGGGACTTTTACCACTAACGTGAGGCTGAAACAGAAGGGAGAGAGTTAGAAATGGCCGATTTGTTTTTGCAAGTTCACATCTGCACCATCCCGTAGGTCGGACGTCTCACCATGTGCTTGTCCAGGTAAGCCATCTTCTCCTGCAGCTCTGGCGACTTTATGTTGGGATACGGCATTCCAACCATAACGATACATCTAAACACATCCACATTAATGCAAAAAGCTGTTTCATTTAACGATTAAATAAGAACATGCTTTCATAGATGATATTTGGCATAGGCATCATTTCTATGTTCAATAATTTGTAATGTACTGCCTTGTAGCAAACACAGAATTTTTTTTAATTTTCATAGCATTGTATTTTGGTTTCAATTAGGTAATGTTGCGTTTTAAAAATAATAAATACAAATAAACAGAAAATGTAACCAAAATAAAACGTTTTAGAAACGTGAAAAAAAAGCAGTTATAAAAAAAAAGTTGTAATATGTACTTTCGATTAAAAGCCATTCGCGTTGTGAATATGACATTTAAAATAAGGTGGGTTCATACTGCAATTATTATGGGATTATATTGGAACATAGTGCTAGTACACACCTGCCCAGGTCATCAGAGAAGTTGATTCCTTCACTCATTTTCCCTCCGACTACAGAGAATAGCAGCGCCCCCGTCTGGCCACTTCCGGCATTACTGCAGCGCTGCATGAATAAAAACCATTTTACACTATAAAAAAAAACCACTATAAAAATGGTTTGAAAGACAATTAATATGCATCTATATTATCGAACAAAATTTAAACCTGCACCAACATTGACAGTTATTGAACTAAATGGAAACAGCATTGAATTAAACTGAGCTGAATAATGACACTATTGTCTTCTGTAGAGCTGCTTTTTCAGCTAAAATTGTATTGATTTCTTAACTGATGAATTTGACCATAAAACTACAGGTTATTTTCCTGTTAATTCACGTGACGCTGCTTTTGAAACAATCTGTTTTGTATATAAAGTGCTATATGAGACTTGACTAAAATGACATTTACTGTAGATCTAAATAGATCTGTTCTGGTTTACTGCATGAGGCACAGTAGTGTTTGCGTGTAATATAAGTATAGTAATATTCACATACTAACACACCTGTATACACTTGGAATAGTCAGTGAGCACTTGCTCAACCTGACTGGCTTTTTTAGGCTCCTGGAAAATCTGAAACACACAGAGAGCGTCTTAACTCGAGCATAAACTAACTTTGCATGGTAGTGTTGCCGTTTGTGTACCTTCTTCTTAGACTCCAGCCGCTGGAGGACACCAGTGCTCTCCCAGTGTCCCAGAATCCTCTTCTCGTATTCGTAGGAGGGGAAGAAACAGACTACGCCCCCCGGCACTATGTTACAGAGGTTTGATAGAACACGGCCTGTCTCCTCCATCTGATATAGGAAACGGGTATAAAGATCATGCTGAACATATTTTTGTTATTTCCCTGTTTTTTTAATCTATCATTGATTATACAGAATTATTTTGTTCGAAAATGAAATCATAACCAATGTTGCGGAAAGCAATGAATATTGCATTACTCCCTAAAAAAAGTAACTTATTACGTTAGTTACTTTTATGGAAAGTAATGTATTGCGTTACTTTTGCATTACTTTACTCGTTACTTGAAAAAGTAATCAGATTACAATCCCATGTTTCTTGTAATCCCCCCCAACACTGATCATAACCATAGAAGACATGTTCGGTTTTCTTAGTTTTGTCTCGGCCACGACATAACTCATTGGAACGTGATAATATATCATGGCCACGAGATATTCATTTGTGGGAATGTCATTTTAACTCATGGGAACGTGATAAAATGTTCCACGTGATGTGAAGTCGTGGCCTTGAGATCCTATGTTGAGGGACCCCCTTTTTTTTTGTGGTTACGAGTTTAATGCGCAAACAAACCTGCATAACCATAGCAACCTGTGATTATCAGAGATGTAAATTAATAAATTAATATTTTATTTTGAATTTAGAAAGGATTATATTAACCTATTTTATACTATTAGCCTATATTATATTATATTGTGCACAATGTTGCCTAGACAGCATTCAAATGAAGTTTGTCATTATC